AATTAGATTTTTCTTGTATCTGTGGGCCTTCAGTAGTTCTTTTACTATCCATCCCTGCATACACTTATACTTCAGAGTCTCCCGCTTCTCTACAGCAAACAAAAATAGATGGCAAAACTTCAAGGCAACTGGTAGAGGCCTGAGGACGAAAGCCGCTCCACAATAATTTTTTTTATCTAACATCGACAAATTTCTGCATCCTTGTTACAAGGCCCTTTGAATTTTAACCCACACACAACGGGCATTTATTGCTATTATTCGGTGTCACTGAATATCTCAAGCACCGAGAGCCTATGATATAAAAGGCAAGTATGCATTACACCGAAGACCTTGTATAAAGATAAAGACAGTCTTCTAGTAAAATATTGAATCCACAGTTGTCCAATCGCCTGTGCAAAACTTGTCAATTGCAGCGCCAATTTCCATTTTACCACCTTGATTATTTGGTTGGCATGCCCTAAAGACGCGAAAATCTCCCTTAGCTAGTGAATTGCCTCAAAACTGTACAAATCCATCACCAACTACCCATAATGCAAATAACTACGGCGCACTTCAGAAATGATGATGCGCACCTTCAGTGAATCGAGCACACACATGCTCCCCTTTTGCAGACAAGATTGTCCTTACCAGCTCTGCCTACTCGGTCCCTCCATTCAATCGCCTTGCTCGGAGGTGATTGTGTGGCCAAGGTCATTCACTTAGAGCTATGTAACGCAGGCCATGTATTCCCAATCGGACATCTCCTTAACAAATTGTAGCCATTGCCGCAATGCATTTGGCTGAGGGGTGCGTATGATGATTCTGATTAAGCTTATGCCAGCATCCGTATTGGAGCTTGCATATTTAACTGGTACAAAAAAGGCACCAATACTGGACAATAAAGCACATGGCAAAATTGGCGTCAGAGTTACAGTTTAAAAGTCATCTCGCCCATTTCGCTCAATACCAACGGGTTGAATGAGTCGTGGGTAAAGTGATTTATTGTCTGCCAATGGTGATGGACCCTGCAATGCTTCACTTTACCATTACATTAAACCGAAGTTATTGACCTCAGGATAGATTATTTTGGCATTGATATAGCTTGAATAACTTAACTAACTTGGCTGCGCAGCGGTAGCAGCGGTGCCCACACTTATTTGTTGATGATGAACCAATTGTCTACCATGGGTTAATAACTATTGTAAATCTACTTAGTGCTTGCTGCTTGCAGTTTGTCTCTCCATTAAATGTCCACCCATTCACAATGCACAGGAAAGTTGAACTGAGTAGTGTATAGATGTGAAAACGACATCCATCAAAAATAGGCATGCTTATGCTTGAATAGGTCTACCAAACCAAATTCTGTGGGGAGAACATGATGATTTCTAGAAGGTGCCTAGGTTTGAGTTGAAGATAAAATGCATATGTTTTGGTTCCATGATCATGGCCTTATGCAAAAGCTTCTTCAGCGAATGCAAATGCAATAGAGACATGCCTGTATTCATGTGAGAGGCACTGTGGACTCTACAAAGTAAAGTGAGAAGTGGGTGGTAAACGTGGCGAGTTTGCTCACCACTAAATACAACAAGGGCAAGAGATAAAAACGAAAATGTGATACGTATGCACATAAACTTTACACCGCGATAAGGTCATTTATATGGTTTTCCGGAATGTATCACCTATCTCTGAGATGTATGAAATCTGTTGCTTATGGTTAGGTGCATCAAACAAAATTAGTAAAGCGTTTATTA